AAAAGCCAAACAGTGGATTTTATATGAATCCTGAAGACAATGAGGAGTCACTGGGGTTTCTTGACTAGGAGGGGTGACATGATCAGACCTGCAATTTGATAGTTAGGGTGGATTAGAGAAAAACTGAGGTAGGAAAAGCAACCAGAAAGTCCAAGTATGAGATGACGAGGGCCTGTACCAGGGTGGTGGCAATGACAGAGGAGAGAAAAGGGCTAAAAGAGGGATGTTTGGGAGGTAAAAATGACCAGACTTGGCAGTAGATTGGAAGACTAAGGAGTAGAAGATGACACCTCCACCAAGTTATGTACTTCCATTCTACAAGCACAATATGAGATCTGTATATACAATTGAGAAATAAATTTAGGCAAAAGTCTCTAACCATTGGAGGGAAGTACACTGGTTCAGACTCAGAGGAACCGGGTACTGCTTCTGGTCCTTCCACTACCTGGCTCTATGGACTTGGCAAGTGTCATTGAAATTCTTTAAGCCCCTTGGGATTTTACAAAATGGGGGAGGGGAAGAGAAAAGGGACAGGAAACTAGGTGGTAGCATAATAGATAGAGCACCGAGCCTGGAATTAGGATGACCTAAATTCAAATCTGACCTCAGACACTTAATCTCAATTTCCTCAACTGTAAAATGAGGACAATAATAGCACCTACCTCCCAGGGTTGCTGGATCAAATGAGACTAATATTTGTAAAATACTTAGCACAATACCTTGTATGCAGTAAGTGCTTAATAAAGACTTATTCCCTTCCCTACTAGTCTCCTTCCAACTCTTCACAGTCTATGAAACAAACTGTTCTCTAAATCATGCCAATCTTGCAGCCTCTGTAAAGGCAAGTAAAAGAGAGAAATACAAGCACACCTTCTGGAAAATGTAAAACTTACAATATGGGTTTTATGGATGTTACAAGGAAAGAATAATATCTACTGGGTAGAGTACAAACCTGAATCCATTCCCCCAGTTTGCAGCTGGTAGGAGAGAGAGGCTGGGTGTTCTCCTAAGTCCCGGGAGGGCAAAAGGGTGTAGTGACATGGGAGTGTCAACCCAGTGATGCCGCAATACCTTACATGTGTACAAACAGGTAGTACTAAACGTACACCTTGGAGAGTACCCATAGAAATGAGAAGAGAGCACTGGATCTAGATCCAGAAGACCTTGGTCCAACTCCTGACTGGTGCTTGTGATCAGAGTAACCTTAGGGAAGTCTCTTTGACCTCCCCTAACCTTGGTTTCCTCATTTGTAAAATGAAGGGGTAAGGGTTGTACCAAATTATTTCTAAGGATTCTTCCAACTCTAACAACCTCTGGGTCAGTCCAGCTCACTCTTTGTGGATTCTGGACACCAAGTATAACCAGCCCAAGGGTTATGATCCAGCACAGCTAGTGGGACTGACTTGGGTTACAACTTCATATAAGTTCCTGTCTTTCTCAACTTCTTTGGCAGAAAAATGGTCAAAAGAAAACCTTTTTCACTGCTAACGTGTCCCAAACCAGAGTAAGTTTGAGAGCTGGAAGAGACTTTAGACAAGTATTCAAACCTAATCATTTTTAAAGTAAGGAAACCAAGGTCCCAAAAGGTTAACTGGCTTGTCCAGAGGCACACAACTAGTTGGTGTCTCAGCCAGAACTAAAATTCGCCCATCTATACCTCACATTTTTCTTAATCTGTCAGAAATCATACTATCTCTGAACTCTCATTATTTCAAATTCACTTTAGTATTAACAGCACAAGAGTAAAAGATTATGTTTCCTCTATTATATTCATCATCCTTTCCCATCCACAAAAGGAACAGATGTTGTCTTTGAATCAATAAAAAGCATATAGAATAGGTGTGGGACCTGTGATTACTTTGGTTTTGGGAACTGTCCAGTAAAAGATTCCCTGTACCCCGGAAGTTCCTGAGTCAACGGCGCCTTTACAATCTGATGGATACTATAAACCCCTTCCCAGAATGACGTTTTTAAATAACTACAGTAAAAGGTTAGTGAAGATAAAGATATAATTTGCTTCCCTTCCAAGTTCATGGATCTCAATGCTGGTTAGCACATTATCTGCAACTCATAGTCTTAGAAAGGTGCCTAGATCACAGAGAGGATAAATGATTTGACCAAAGTCAAATGGCCGGTATGTGTCAGAGGCAAGGTTTGAACCTAGGTCTTTTCAAAGTGCAGAATGTTACAATTTTTCAAAATTCAGGTTACAAGGTACAGACCCATCTTCTTTTGGGAATGGTAGTACTCAGACTAAAGCAGAGAGTAACTCACCAGGAATAAAGAGAGAATAGGGAAGGCACAGGTTCCAAAGATCTATCTGCCCATCCTCCTCTCCTCCCACTACTACACCCTATACTCCACCCACAAAGATTTCTCAGTTTGCCAATTATCTAACTCTATTAAAATGCAAATACCCCCAGGTACAGTTAAGTCCAGGAATCGTTCACACCTAAGATTCCCTTCTAGCTCCAACACTATGAATATCTGATCTAAGAATTACTTTCATCAGATAAGCCAGAGGTTTGCAGCTACCAGCAGAGATCCAGTAACTAAGAAACTAGAATTTTAATAAAAGAAGAGTAGGGTGATTTTGGAACCAGGAACCCAGCTGGGGAGGAAGGTAGGAAAGTGATGCCTTAGTCAGTCAGAGGCTAGCATATTAGGGTGGAGAGGGAAAACAGGATATAACAAGTAGAAAGGCTACCCAAAACAAATTGCACCCGCATATACAAGTCTGCCTGATGTCCAGATGGGTAGCTTAATTTCAACCCCATAGGGATGAGTTTCTTCATGTAAAGTCCAAAACAAGGAAAGGTTCCATTCTCGGTTACTCACTCTAAAGCCTACAAGGAAGCTAAATCTTTTTAATGGTCTCCCCCCCTCCATGCCACACCACTCCTCTCCCTTCCCCACTCCCCAAATACTTTGATGAGGCTTCCTAAAAGTATAGTATTAGATGAGGCCAGTTAACAAAACTACCCAAATTCTCTCTGGAAAACAGACTCCAAATCCCAATATTTCCTTTTTACCCTTTTCTATGAGACCAAAATAAAGGCCTAATAGACCCTTCCTGCTTCCTAGTAGCTGAACTATATTTGATTGTATTCAAACAAGAGTATCAACTCCTACTACCAGCCCAGGGATCTTGTAGGTACTTAAGCCACTAAAGTCCAGTCCCCACCAATTAAAACTATGTCCAAGAAAGTCATTACCAATCACTTTACACAATTTTGACAGAAAACTGAATAGTGTGAGGGAAAAGAAGAGGGTGAAAGGCAGAGGAAAACATATTTCTTCCCAAGGAAGCTTTCAGCTGGAAGTTTAAGTTGGAAGCTTGGCTGGAGTCACAGAAAATAGAAGATTGTTTGACAAGAACACCAGTTATGTATCATCAATCATCCACAAAAGCAGTACTGGACTGTTTATTATATTTATTCACCCATCCTCCTAATCTTATTCATCAGTCCTAAGGGCAGATGGCAAGATGGTACGGAAAGTGTTCTCCAATCCTGTTTCATTCTGCAAAACATGTGTTCTCAATGCGACACATGTAAAAAGAAAACATTAAAAAAAAGAAATGAAAATAAAATAACCCTATTAAGAAAATATAGTAGAAAAAACAGCAATAAAGAATTCTTCTAAAAACATTTCTCAGAGACTGATGTTTGCTCCTGTGAATGTAAAAAAATTTTAAGAGACACTGAATGAATACCTCACATTTGGATTCTTTGGGCTTACTAATGACCTTTTGATTTGATCATTCTACATCATCTTCCCCTCCTTTTTAGGGGGACTTTTAAACTTACACTAAGCAGTAACTGCCTGAAAACCCCAAGAGCCACCATTTTTACTTTTCATAGTGGGAGAGTGGATAATGTGAAGAAAGGAGGTGAGGGGGAGGAAGAAATCAAGGTCTTTGAAACACCTGTGTCTCCCAGGTCCGGAGAAACTCTGTCTGATTGCTGAAAAGCATTAGTGAGCTCAGAAAAAAAAAACCGTAATAAAACAAAATAGAAGTCATTGCCATTATTTAACAGAGGTTTAAAACAAAGGACACGTTTCTGAGTGGCATTCAAGCGTTTGCTTTATTTTTCTAGCCAGCCCACCTTCTGGTCTGCATTTCTTCATCCAACAATAACAACAAAAAACAAAAACAAAAAAAAACCCCACTATAACTCATCACTTAGAGAAAGACATGAGGCTAGTAATTGAGGAACTAGACTGAAATATATGTTGACGGTTACTAGTTATTGTTCTGCCAATGACAGATACAAAAATAAATCTTCCCACCATCCACACCCACAGACGAGCCATTATGCAAAATGCTTTTCGGAACGAGACTTGGAAAGAATGTGCTAGAAGTGTTATTTATGTACATATTGCATACGGTACCCCATATACCATTCAAGCTGCATCATTCACACACAAAAGCCTGTGATGGAGAAGGCAGATAGCTAGCCTCTGTGCCTGGAACATACAGCCGTAAGAGCAGTGGCAACCTCATGTCCAATCAAATCCTTCTCACGAAGGTGGACTTCGGCAGGGTGTTTTGCATGGTTAATCTCCCCTATTATTGCCCACGCTATGCACAACATCAATATCCCATGGGAACAAATCTATTCCATGTCGCTGCTCATTGTCCCGAACTGCCAAAGCCTTGATCTCATTTTTATCCCAACAATAGTTCACTCTTCTCCTTTTCCAGGGACAATCTGAGGCCTGGGAGCTGCCTTTCAATCTCAGTTTTTCTTAGTTCTCCCCCCCCCCAACCTACAAAGGATTAAAATCTTAGCCCCCTTACCACGAGCAATTAAGAAAGAAAAAGGGAAAAAAAAAACCCCAAAAACTAAGGCACCTTTTCTCGCTTCAGGGAAGAGCAGGCAAAAGCCCAGAGGCTTGGCGAAAAGTAAAAAAAGCACTTGGGGCGACCGGGGACGGAATGATCGTGAATAAATCACCGACACCAAAGCACCGAGAATAATAAAGACACAACTTACCCAGAAAATGACATTGAAGCCGAATATGAAATATTTGATGCAACAACTGACTTCAGGACCCTTGTAATGCTTCCCGGACATCCTCTGGGTTCATGAAGGCACTTTCCTGGGCAGCCAGAGTTAGGAGCCCCCGGAGCACCCCGACACGACCGCGACCTTCCCACACCAGGCGGCACGGCAGCCCCAGGTCCACGAGGGGCGCGGGTGCAGCCCCCGCCGCGACCACCTCGGACTCAGCAGCAGCAGCAGCTGCTGCCGCAGGAGGAGGAGGAGGAGGAGGAGGAGGAGGAAGGAGAGGAGGAGGAGGAGGCGGCGGCAGCGGGAGGACGATGGCCGAGCTGGGCGCCGAGGAGCGGACTCCGAGCGCGGCGCGGCGCCGCTCTGGGCTGGCTGCCTCTCTCCCTCTCCAGCCCGCCTCTCTCCTGCACCGAGGCCCCGGCTGCCTAGCCGAGCCTCCGCAGAGCGCACCGACAAGAGGGCTCGGATCGCAGGCTCCCCAGCGAGCTAGCACCCCTGCCCCTGCCCCTGCCCCTGCCCCTGCCTCCGGCTCTGCAGCTGCCGCTGCCGCTGCTGCGGCCGCCGCGAAGGCTCCCTCTGGCTAGGAGCGCACGGGTCCCACCGCCGGCTGTGTGTCCGGCCGGCCGGCCGCTGCTGCTGCCTGCCCGCGGCCAGAGGATGCTGCGTGGGGACGGGGCTGGCCCGCGCTCGCTCTTCCCCCGCGAGGAGCGGCAGAGGGGATGCACGGAGACCCACGCGCGGCGCGCACACACTCACGCATCCACACTCCGGCACTGGAGAGCACCCGAGCCCCTTTGACACAATAACGTGTCCTCCTCCTCCTCCTCCTCCTCCTCCTCCAGAGCTGCGGCCTCCCACCGCCGCCTGGGCCCTCCCTCCCGCGGCCTTTCTCCCCGCCCCCTCGGAGGAGGGGGGTGGGGCTGGGGCGGGGCGGAACGGACCCTATCTCCCTGCAATTGGGGCTGGTGAGAGAGCCGAGGGGGGCGGGGGAGTTCCACGGAGGCCAGCAGCCTGAGTGATGGAAATCAGCAGCATCTGCGATCCCGCCCAACCACAGCCCAAGGGAGGAGTCGTGGCCTTCGGGACCCCTCCTGCGGGTCACCTTTCCAAATGGTGTGTGTGTGCGCGCACACGCACACACACACACAGACACACACACGCACGCACACGCACACACACACACACACACACACACCCCCACCCACCCTTGGTCATAGCCTCTGCCCGAGTCGTATGCATACTAAGGTGGCAAGGCGGCAGCCCAGGCCGGGAGGACGAAAAGCAGAGCCAGAGAGCTAGCTCTAGAATCGGGGGCCCTGGGTTCGAATGTCCATTCTGCTGTTTACTGGATGTGGAACTTTGAGTAAGTTGTTTAACCTTCTAGGCCTCAGTTTCCTCATCTTAAAAGGAGAGGGTAGGACTAAGTGTCTCTTCTACTTCTAAATCCACGAGCCTTAAGGGTGGGTGGACTTTGCGTGAAAGAGAAAGATGAGGTGGGGAGGGAGAGACTTAGAGGCAAAGAGAAAATCAGAGACAAAGACCTTTTGCTTCTCTGAGAAGAAAGCGGGCTCCTTGAGGGAAGAGAGCTGCCCTGTTAGGAAATCAGGTAACCAGCTGCTTTTCTCCCTAGAGACTTCATGCTACCACCTGGAAAAAAAATGATCAAGGTCCTGGACAATCACCTGAAATGGATAGGCTAGCCCAATGAAGGAATGGGGGGGCCAGAGTAAGGGTGGGGAGGAGGTGAGAATTGGCAAGAATAAATAAGGGCAAAAGATTCTGCAGAGGGCACCAGATGTCTTACTGATTCCTGGTAGTTTGAAAGGAAGTTGCCTATTCCCTGAACTTTGGGGAGGCATCTCTGAGAATGGACTCCATTGCAGTCTTTAAAGGAATCTGATTTGTCATCCAAAACCCTGAGCTATGCTGTTGTTTATTCTCTTAGAGAAAAAGAAAGGGTGGGCGGAAAATTGATTGGGGTCCCTTATTGATTGCCTCCCTTATAACACTGATCCTACTTTCTCTACCTTTAAAGGTATTGTTGCCAAAGGCCCCAGGGTCTGAAGCTTGAGAGGAAATAAGAAACAACCCACCCCACTCCTCAACCCTACCAAAGCCCGAATGACTTGGTGAAAAGGGCATTGGACTTGGAATCAGGAAGACATGAGTTCAAATTCTGCCTGAGGCACTTAATGTCTGTGTGACCATAAATAGGCAAGTCATTACCTCTCTGCCTAGTTCCCTCATCTGTAAATTAGAGGGATTGCATGGGGTCTCTTCCAGCTCTAAATCTATCCTTCTATGTGAACTACTCTCATTCTTCAGTACTTTGAATGGAAAAAGAGAGGAGGGATTGAGAATGCCTTTCAGCTGCTGCAAAGTTTAATGAAAAATTAAGGGGCTCCAAAATAGGATCGAGGCAGCATCCTATTCCGTCCAGCCTTCTGCCCCAGTTTAAGTCCTGTTCTATTCATAGTCACAGACTGCATCCCTACACCTTAGATGACAACGATGCCAGATGAGGCAGTTCTCAAGAGAAAAACCAGCGGGTAAATGAATCATAGGATTAGAGCTGGAAGGGAGCTCAGAGGACATTTAGTCCAACCCAGGGGTTGGACTGCGACCTGAAGGCCATGTGTGGCCCTCTAGGTCTTCAAGTGCAGCCCTTTGACCGAATCCAAACTTCACAGGACAAATCCTCTTAATAAACGGATTTGTTCTGTAAAACTTGAACTCAGTCTAAAGGTCGCACCCAAGGTCCTAGAAGGCCACATGTGGCCTAGAAGCTGCAGGTTCCCCACCCCTGGTCCAACCCCTTCATTTTTTACAGATGAGGAAACTGAGGCCCAGAGAGATTGAGTCATTTGCCTAAGGTCAAATATGTAATAAGCATTAGAAGTGAGATTTGTACCCACATCTTTTGACTCAAGCTCCAGTGCTCTGGCCACTGTCCCGTGCTACCTCCTAGGTCACACAGGTAGTGTTAGAAGCCATATTTGAACCCAGATCTTCTGATTCCAGGTCCAGAGCTCTCTCTCTTCAATATCAGACTGAATCACAGAAAATCCTTCAACACTTCTAGGGGAAATGTCACAAAAGACATGCTCTGAATCATCTTCATATATGAAATACAGCATAGTTTAAAAATAATATCTGTAAATCCATTCACAGTCCTAGCCAGGGTAAAAAATACCTGGACTCATACCATGGGACACTCAATTTAAAGCAGGATTAAGCTCATTTGCCAGATGATCATCTGTGGTTGTCTTAAAGACTATTGGTTTCTCTCTTTATCAAAGGACTGGTAAGCAAGTAAAATGCTCCAGCTGAAAGGTGTCCAGCTTTGAAAGACCAGGAGTTTGGCCAAAGAGACGACACAAGGTGCTAGCCTCCTCAGCAGTCTTCTGCCTATTCTTCCCCTTAATCTATTCCCCTCACCAGCTTTCCTTAGAAACAGTGTACTGGGTTAGTTAAAGTGCAGGTTTGCAATGTTTCTTCCCTAAGTTTGCAACATTCAAACAGTCAATGGGGCTCAAGGAGGAATCCCGCTAAGACACTCTCCTATCTTTCCCACTTCACTTTGGCTAGACCTATCCCAAGGGTTTGTTCAGCTGACTGGATACAATACAGCATGGCCCAAGCCATCAACAAATGTGTCAAGTACAATTTTTGAAAGGACCAGTTGGCTATTACCACAGCCTGCAGGGTAGCTATGAGAACTCATCTCCACAGTATCCCTTTGAAACTATTCAGCCAGGAGTCCCTGGCCTACGTGGTACCTTGTTTTACAAACCCAACTGACTCAAAGATGACTGAGTCTCCTCCACTCAAAGGTCCAGCACAGGAACACTTTGATCAATGACCTTGCGAGAAACCATCGGCCTAGATGGGAGAACAACCTTAGAATGCCACCTGAACATTATCTTTCCATCATCTTTGTTTTACTGTAAGCTGGTCCTTGTTTAATTGGTAACAATCAGAGTTAGAGCTGACATTTATACAAGGCTCTATCTTGGCTTAGTTCTTTATGTACATTATCTCTTTTCATTATCATAACAACCCTGTGAAATAGGAGCTACCATAACCACTTTACTACAAAGGAAACTGAGACTCACAAAAGTTAAATGACTTGCTGAGGACCACACAGCTAGTATTTGTGGCAGGACAGGACCACAGATCTTCCTGTGTATAAAGTATTACAAATACTCTATAATAAATAACAAATAAAACATGTCATAAATATAATAAACATTAAAATATATAACAAATATGCTAAATTCTATATTTTCTTTCCAATGACGTAAGATATATATGGGGGTAGGGGAAGCTGGTACATGCACATGGGAGGGGTGGGGGTGGGGGTGATCACATGGAATGGGAGGGCCTTGGAGAGTCTGTGGCACATGTATAGAAATGGTTCTGGCCAACTAACCAAGTCTAGAAGAGGAGGTTTTATGGTTCCCTGTTGGGGCATTCAGAAAGGCATCTCAGCTTCAGTCATTCCCTTTGTACCTCAGGAAGTAACTCCTTGACTCATATCACGTGGTGAGAGATGGTTCTATAAGGGGAAAGGACACAGGACCTTCCCCACTCCGAGGCAATTGGGCTCAGTAAAGAGCCAAATCAGTCTTTGGCCTCTGTGTCTGTTATATTCTCTTTTTAGGTGAAGCCTAAATTAGAGCCTCTGACATTGTGAATTTGAAATCTCTGGAGATCCCTCTAGCATCCTGATGCTCCAAAGTTTGGGCTCCAGGGCCAGAGACACAAATTCTGATGCGTCTCATTCAGGGGTAAGCTGGTAACACCACTGTTTGACCGGGACTTGCTCTGTATGAAAGCTAATAAAATGAGATACGGCTAGAAAGCAATGTTAGAGTCAGGGAAATGGCAGGCTAAGAAGTTTATCTTTTATTGTATCAGTAACAGGGAGCCACGGAAGCTTTTGGAACAGGAAAATGACATGGCCGGGCCTTTTTCTTAGCATGGATGGATTAGAGAAGACAACCAAAGATAGTGAGCAGTTAGTGGGATATTACAATCGTTCTGGACAGAGGTAATAGAAGCCTAAACTAGAGTGGTATACATATCGTGGGTGTACCTAGTTACCTGCATATTGTCTCCCCCATCAGAATGTAAAATCTTGGAGGGCAGGG